TATTAAATTGAATTTAATTGATATCTGCTCTAACAAAGATTTTCTTTGCAGCTTCTTCAATTACTTTCAAATTCTCTTTAATAGTTTTTAAGCTGTAGACTAGACCAATATCATTCATATAACTTAGAGATTGCACTATTCTCATATTTCTATTTTTGAATAGATATGCAGTGTATATTGTAAATAAAATAAGTAAGATTGAAGATTTCTGTGATACTTCTATTTTTATCTCAGTCTTGTCTTGTTTCATTCCATCAAAGAAGAGTTGTATAATTCTTTTAAATATAAAACAGTTAACTCATTTTATTAGAGAAAGTGACAGTTTTAATATCTTCAATGTCTGAATTAACTTTGACTTTGAAACATGATTAAATGCTTCTTTTATATCAATACAAACTGCAGTTGAGATCAGACTCTCATACTTTGCTATTTGAATATCATGAATAACTGAGAGAACAGTGTCAATTGCAGAACACTGTTTTCTATCTCTCATTTATTCACTGAATAAAAGAGAATCACTTATAGAGCTTATAAAAGATAGTTAAGTAGCTATTATCTTTTCTAAAACCTTTTCTAGACAGTTCAATAGAGATATTACTCTATATGACTTAGAAATTGAAGTTTTTCTATTAGATTTTACAAGAATCACTTCAGTGACTTCTCTTCAGCATTCAGAATGATATTCATTTTTCAAGAGATTGAAAAGAAGTTCAAAATATTCATTCTTTAAGTAGGAATATGTATTTTGAATAATCAAGTGATTAATTGAATCAGGACCTGCAGCAGTTTTAACAGTACTTGAGAAGATAACTGACTCTAATTCATCTTATGTAAGATCAGGCCATTCTCAGTCATTTTCATCAATGTAGTTGAGAAGTGATATATTCTCTTTCTCTGAATCTGAATCTGAATCTGATGAGTTCTGAAAGAGAATTCTCATGAAAGCTTGACATTTTTTCTCAAAAGAGTTTGCTGTATATGATTCATTCTGAAACTCATATTCTAAGGCTGGAAGTTTTGCTACACTTCTTATTTTAGTATAGTTAAAAGCTTTAAAAACTTCCTTCTCTTATGCTTCTTCAAGAAATTTATTCCAGCAGTCTGTTTTAGCTCTTTTAATATCTGAAAAATATTCATTTCTGACAGCTTTGAATTCTTCATCAGATATTATATCATTCTTTCAATCTCTTCTAGCAGTAGCTAATTCTTTTCTTTTAGATGAGATATTCTCATTTCATCAAGGTTTTGAATACTCAGAAGATTTTCTCTTTGAAATATTATCTCTAATACTTGTTAGAATAATAGATGTAATAAGCTTCACTCTATTCTTAAGTATTTCATTTGAGATATCTTGACCAGAATTTCAATATAGCTTATTCTGTCTTTCAGATTTTAACAGTTTTATGCTTTCTTCAACTGCTTTTCAATCAGCTTTTTCAAAGTTATACTGATTAGAGAGAAGAGGATTTTCACTCATTTATTTTTCACTTAGTTCAATATCAAATTGAATAATCTCATGATCTGATTCTGATGTCTCATTTGAATCAATAAATCAGTTTACAAGTCTTCTTTTTATTAGATTTTGTGACATGAAGATTAGATCTATAATAGATTTCTGTTTCATGCCTTTTCTAAAGAATGTGTGTTGATCAGACTTATTAACCAAATCTATTGAATACTCAAAGGTTCATTCAATCAGATTATCAGCTCTCACTGCTCTCTTATATTCTGAATTTCATCAGAGATGATGTGTATTGAAATCTCCTGTAATTATAGAGTTTCTTGATGAAGTTATGTTCAGAAATCCTCTATCAATTGTTCAGATATTGTTATTTTTCTTCAATGACTTTTCATTATAGATATTTATAAGCTGTATAGTATCAAACTCATTTTCTTTATCTATAATATCACTCACCAGAATATCAGAGTCAGACATGATATTAAATCTTAGATTAAATTGATATCTTGATCTCTTTCTTTCATAGATCACTACTCTTGACTTTATCTCAGACTTTTGAGATAGAAAGCAGTAGTAGCTTGAATGAGAAATGATGTAATTTTACTCAGCATCAAAATTTGATTCCTGAAGTAGTATAAAATCAACTTTTTATTCAAATACAATTTGAAGATAAGAATAAATACAATTTGAGTTTCTATTCATATTATTTTGAATAAATGTGATTTTTGAAGAGTTTTTAAACTTTTTTTGTTGTTTTTGTTGTATATTCATACTAAAAGAGAGTAGAGATAGAGTAGAATCTAGTCACTATCATCAGATAGTAGATTATAACTATTTTGAAAAGTAGGAATCTCAACTGCTTGCATTATATCTAGTTTATTATCAGAGTCATTTCTCAATTCTCTAATCTTAACAGAAGTTTGAGGATTCAAATTCTGTTTATATTTAGCTGAAGAATTGAAGTTTGAAGATTTAGATAGTTGAGAGTTTCTTCTTTTTAAGCTTGCAGTTGTAAGTCTACTGACTTGACTCTTCTCTTCAGTTCTAGATTGACTTTGAGCTTCATCTTTTCTCCAGTTCTTTTGAGTTCTAGAAGCAAACATATATTCTTTTGAGCTAGATGCATGTTTTTCTTTGTAATTAGAGCACTTAAGCAGAGTGTGTTAACATATTTCATCTCTTTTTGAGCATGTTTCACATTTATGCTCACTAGTTTTGTGATCTCTGACACAGAATTCATATTTTGAGTCTCTAAAACATGAGATTGCAAAGTATTCATATCTTTGACAGTTTGAACACTGTGTTTGAGCTTTGAGATTCATTCTTGAGTCTTTGTATTCATGAACTCTCATTTTCAAATCTGCTACTCTTACTTCAGAGATCTTTGACTGTTCAAGTGTTTTTATATATACTAGAACAGAGGCATTTCTCCTACTTTGTCTGAACTCAATTGAATTTAGTTATACAGGCTTCTTTCTCAGTTGAATAGAGTTGTATTCTTTCAATTCATTTTTGAGAAGTAGCATTTCTTCTTCACAGTCAAAAATTTCAACTGGAATATTATGAAGAATGAATTTGTCTCACTTTTCATCTCTTTCAGATAGAATTGTTGTATTTAACAAAGATTCTACTGCTGACTTTCAGAGATTCTCATTCTGAATAAGAAATTCAGCACTGAATTCAGACATTGTAGTCAGAATGATGAAGTTTCTAAAGAATGATAGCTCAATTGAAGCTATAACTGATTTTTGAACTTCAATATCAGTCATCAACTGAGAAAAGAACTGCTGATTGATTTCATTTCTAATTCTGAAAATGAGATTTGAGTTTAGCTTGTTTCTTTGCAGAATATTCTGATTTGAGACTTTGAGAATAAGTCTTCTATTTCTGAAGATTTGAAAGTTTTTCTCTTTTTGTATTTTCTTTTTCACTTTTCTATGAATAGAGATCTGAGCAGTATTCTTCTCAGTTTTCTCAGGATTTTGAGCAGGTTTTGAGATAGCAGGTTTAGAGACAGCAGATTCAGCTGCTTGAGCATATGTTTTCTTCTAATTCAAAGAAGAAGAAGAAGTAGAAAAAAAAGAAGAAGAAGAGTAAGATAAAGAGTCAGTGATTGTACTAGGAATTTTCAATGTTTTTTGAACTGTGTTTGAGATTTCAAGTTTGAACTTGATCATCTTCTGTAGTTGTCTAGCCTGAGTATGAAGAATTAACAGAACTTCTTCATTCATCTCATTCAGACACTGCTTTTCAAGAATTTTGCTTGCTTTTTCAAGTTTCTGTATTTCAAGAACTTGTTGTTTCTCTATTTCTTCTTTCTTTCTTCTCTTCAGAATTTCAATCTCAGGAATAGCATTTGAGAAAGCATCTTTTTTCACATCAACTGAGTGTATTTTTGAACTCATTATTCTCACTCAATGAAAAGTTGATCAGACTGTTTCAATTGAGATATTTCTAAGTCTGTTTTCAATTGAAAAGTTGATCAGACTGTTTTAAAAGAAGAATAAAAGACTTTTGTGTATAAAACACCTGATTTTTTTCACACTAGTTCAGTAACTAGGTTAGATTTTTGAAGAGAATCTAATAAACTACAGTAACTAGGTTAGATTTTTGAAGAGAATCTAATAAACTAAAATTGATTTTTGAGATAAATCAATAAAATCTTTACAATCTCTTTCTTGAGATATAGTGAGAAAGAGTATGATATCAATTGATAATGAATCAGATGATATGACAGTTTTTGAGAGAAAAACTGACAAAAAATAAATCAATTTTTTACAGAGAAATTGATTAAAACTATTCAATTTTATTCTAAATCATTCAATTCTTCTCACACAACAAGTGTGCAACTCAAATCAGTTAATAAAGAGTGTAAAAAAGAATTAAGTATTAATAAAAGCTCTTCAGTCACTGGAAAAGTAATTCTTACTTAAAAGAATATGAAATTATGACAGAAAACAGCTCTGTTTTTTATTCTTTATAAGAATATTATACAAAACTCAGAGAAAAACACCTTACTTTTTCAAGAGAAGTAAAAAACTATTTCTAAGATCTTTTTTTTGCATTAACTGCTGCAGAAGAATGAGATAGAAACTGCTAAGATATACACTACTGTATACTCTCTATCAAGACTTTCTCTCTTCAGAGTCTTGATATTATAGAGAATATAAGTCTGTTTCTATATGATAATATAAATATTGTCAGCGGGATATAGAGAAACTGGTTATTTATATCTCAAAATAGAAGACTTTGTCAATGATTATATTAATATAGAGTTAATTCTCAAATTCAATAGAAATCTAGTGTTGCTGTTCTCAATCTCTTGCAGAATCTATTGAATATTGAGATATTAAAACTAGATTTAATATATCTCACTGTGCAGGGATCAAAGGCTCAGTCAGATCTTGAGATATACTGATTTTATAGTTGTTGATGTGCTGTTGACTTGTTGTTTGCTGATTATGTATTGAATGCTGTTGTCAAGGTATCTTTTTGTATTGTTCTGCCGGGGATGGGCCAGATTGAGAGGGGTAGTACAAGGGTGAGACTTGGTGTTGAAGTCTAGATACACTGATGACAGACTGTGGAGGTTGCACTTCAGAAGTGTCTGTTGATTATGTGCTTGATATTATCACTGAGGTATCTTTTTGTATTTTTCTGCCGGGGATGGGCCAGATTGGGAAGGGCGGTACGAGGGTGGGACTTGGTGTTGATATTTTGGAACATCAAAGGTGGACAGGGTTTTCGCGGAGGTCGCTCCTCAGATATCTCCACAACTACAGATCGGGGATCTTCCAAAATCGAGAAGATTGGTGCATATGGCTATGTCTCTTCACCTTACAATTTGTATGGCACTTTGGCCCGGGGTTGTGGTGTGGTAGGGGTGAACGGGGGATAATCCCACACGGGAGTTTCGAACAACGTGTAGTTCACGTTTGGCTGGATATCTCCACCACCACACGGGGTATGCGGTCGGCGATGGGGTCCAAATGCTCGTATGATCGAGGGCTTTTCGATGGATCTATCGGCGGGTTCTTATTCGAAAAATCGAGCGAGTTCGTGGTGGGGCGGTTGAGATTCTTCTTTAATCTGATCCACTTTTTCATATAGAAACACAGCAGATCTTAAGACTTATTGAAATTCTGTTAACTGATTAACTTATAAGTAAAGAGATTTATTTATTAATAATTTTTTTATTTTCACAAAAAAGTTAGTAAAATAAAATTATATAATTACTGATGAAGGTGAAAGATTGATTGATTGTACACTAATCTAGCCGCGCAGCATTCTATAGATGTGTGGGTTACATGGCCTCATATAGAGCATCCGGTCAAGCACTCAAGCATCTGCTAGCTGGTGTGAATATTACATACAAATCTTGCCTAGTTATTCCATTGATTCTTTCTCTTCAAAGATCTCTTATATTATGTCAATTGATTTCTAACTTCTAGCTTTAATATCTCTCATTCTTTGCTTCTTTTCTCTCTGAAATTTCTTCATAATAATATTCTACTTATATAGTCTAAAACATCTTTCTCATCTTATAAGTTCTGACTCTGATTCTAGCACTGATTCTAGCTCTAACTCTAGCTCTTACTCTTCTAACTCTGATATTAATATAACTTCTAACTAGACTAGCTGTCAGAACTATAAATTTTATATTTGATCTTATTATTATTATTATTACTCTTCAATTATAGATATATACAGTCAGAGACTATAACATCTATCTGAGAACTTTTAGTTCTCAGGGTTTTTTCTATATCTGTAAAGTTAACTATTATTAGACTGATCACTGAGACTATGAATTTTATATTTAGTTTTATTTAATCTGATCTCATACATTTCTTGATGTAAATTCTGCTGGGACTGACTATTAAAAAAACATATAAAGTGATTATATATCAGATCTTAAAATGAAATCATGACTTGAAAAAAATAAGAAAGTGATCTTATTTAATCTCATTTAGTCTCATTCTTAGCATAAAGTTACTATTTTTAGACATTTTAAGGTTTTTTTTAGACTATTTTTAATTTTTTAAAAAGTAACACTTTTTGATACTACTTAAATAAGATTTAAAGTCATTTAAAGTAATAAAAATAATTTAAATTGAGAAGTGAAAATCATAATCTTATTTAAAAAATGTGATAAGAGTAGATAGTAAGTCTCACTGAGACAGTATAAGACTACTATCTAATGTTAAAACTGTGTAATGAGATCAGTCAAATTGATAATAAGACTATTAAAAAATCTGATTCTGGTCTCAGACACGGTTATACAGTCAGTCTAACTATTATACATTTATCAATTTCAGATATATAAAATCAGAAAATTTCAGCTCTGAATATAAAAACTGTTTATAAATTGCAGTATTTTAACATCTTCTAATACTTTAAAATCATTTGACAATATCATGACAAAAGAAAAGAGAACACAGTCTTAAAGATAGACACATTAAATAGATAGATAGAAAGAAATTGAAAGAAAAAGATAAAGTAAAGAGAGACTGTAATAAAACAAATTATTAAAAGATAGTATATAACTGTTATAACAGACTATATCTGATTGATTTTCTTCTCTTCATATTCAGATATTTCTGAATTTAGTTATTTTCTTATAGCTGCTTGAGTTTCTGATAGAAGATCTATTAAGTATTTAATTTCAGTCTCAGTTGAGAATAAGAATCTTATATTTAATTAATTTAGATTATACTTCTCTTTGAATCTAACTCTGAGACTATTATATAATATATAGTATATTATAATATACTCAGAATTCTCATTTACATTGCAGAATGAGTATTCTATTAAATCAAATCTATCATCAAATCTTTATATATAAGATTTGAAATAGCCATGTTCTAGTTTCAGCTGTATTATAGATGAGAATATTTTCTTTTTATATTTAATTAAACAAGATTTTCACTTGAGTTTTGTTTCAAATCTTGAATAATGTATACTCTTCTTTTGTTTCTGTCAGCTTTTATTTCACTTGTCTAAACAAGGTTCTTTTATTTTTCTCTTTACATATTTAATCTTATTTAAGCTAATCTTATACATTTCTTGATATGAATTCTACTGAGACTAATTATTAAAAAAACATGTAAAGTGACTATATATCAGATCTCAAAATAAGATTATAACTTAGAAAAAATAAAAAAGTGATCTTATTTAATCTTATTTAATCTCATTCTTTGTATAAAGTTACTATTTTTAGACATTTTAAGGTTTTTTTTAGACTATTTTTAATTTTTTAAAAAGTAACACTTTTTGATAACACTTAAAATAAGATTTAAAGTTATTTAAAATAATAAAAATAATTTGAATTAAGAAGTGAAAATCATGATTTTATTTAAAAAATATAATAAGAGTAGATACTAAGTTTTACTGAAACAGTATAAGACTACTATCTAATCTTAAAACTATGTAATGAGATCAGTTAAATAAATAATAAGATTATTAAATATTCTGATTCTAGTCTCAGATATAGATAATAGTTATATAATTAGTCTACTTCTAACTCTAACTATTAATTCTGATATAATTTTAATAAACAGTCTTAGCTAATTATCAAAGAATTAATTGAATATTTATATAAAATAGATCTTAAGTATTTGATAAAATGAATTACTTAATTATACTTAAGAATAAAGCGGATTTAATTATATATAAAGAAGATTAAAATATATTATATCTTTTATAAAGAACTTTTTCATATCTCTTATTAAGAGATTTCAATACCTTGTATTTTAAAAGCGTTATTAATTTTTGAATGTAAATTCTAGTTATTTACTAGCTATTCTGTTAAGTTCTTATCTTATTCACTATTATAAAAGACTCACAGAATCAATCTCTTTTTAAAGTATGTAGTTGAAATAATATAAAAGTGATTAAGAGCTTATAATCTAATAAAAATACAAGATTAATTAATTATACACTAATCTAACTAGACTGGCCGCTGAGATTATGAATTTCACATTTAGTTCTATTTGATCTGATCTCATACATTTCTTGGCGTGAATCTCACTGAGACTAGTCATTAAAAAAACATATAAAGTAACTATATATGAGATCTTAAAATGAAATCATGACTTGAAAAAAATGAGAAAGTGATCTCATTTGATCTCATTTAGTCTTATTCTTGATATAAAGTTACTATTTTTAGACATTTTAAGGTTTTTTTTAAACTATTTTTAATTTTTTAAAAAGTAATGCTTTTTGATAACACTCAAATAAGATTTAAAGTTATTTAAAGCAATAAAAATAATTTAAATTAAGAAGTGAAAATCATGATCTCATTTGAAAAATATGATAAGAGTAGACAGTAAGTCTCACTGAGACAGTATGAGACTACTATCTAATGTTAAAACTGTGTAATAAGATCAGTTGAATTGATAATGAGACTATTAAAAAATTTGATTCTGATCTCAGACACGGTTACACAGTCAGTCTAAATCTAACTATACAGTATTCTATAAATGTATAAATTATATAACACTATATAGAGTATTCAGTTAATAATTACTATTTTTATATAGAATTGTTTTCAAAAATATTATTATTTATTAATTTAAAATTTTATTAAAAAGTTAAATTAAAAAAAGTATAATTATAAATATTAATATATAATAAATTAAACCTTTTTATAAGAGGTCTTCACTGAATAGATCAGTATTAAGTTATAGATCTTATATAATAAAAGTAAAAAATATTAGAGAAGAAAAAAAGAGAAAGTACAGTAATCAGTGATTAAAGTAAATATTTATATATATATATAATAAAGCTTCAGAGTAAAAGAATAGAAATTTCATAAGTTCTTCAGCTGAGAATTAGTAACTAAGAATTGAAGCTTTCAGTAGAAATCTATAAAGTGTAATAAAATAATCTATATAATTAATCAGATACAGTCTGTCACATTAACTCTCTCTTTTCAGAAGTGAGATTATATGTAGTTCTTATCAGTTAAGAGCTGCTCTTCCAGATAATATAAAGCTCAGAGTTCAGATTAAGTGATTATAACTGTTTTATTTTATAAGATATTATCAGCTGCAGCTGCAGAGTCTCTTATTAAGAATATCTTCAATCTTATATTTAAGTTTATTATCTTCTTCTATGATCTCTGATAACTGTTAGTCAGAAGTCAGTTAAGAAGAGAATAAATCAGTGATAGTATAGCAGAGTAAGCTTGTATAAGAGATATTATAAATCTCTGATGATGTATTAAGATAGTAGTTATAACTATCTAGAACTTCTATTACTTTGTACTTAATATAGTAATAGTTCAGTGTATGAGATAAGTATATAATCTGTATATTTTTTAGATTCAATTATATCAGATCTTCTATCTTATATTACTCAGTGTAACGTGACGGAACTGAAGCAGTGACTAGTCAGCAGTGTTATATAGATATAGTTGTTTGAAAAGCTGTAGACATGAGCTTAATTATCTTGCTTAAATAGCAAGCTCATAGACTACAGAGTTATTGTGAGAATATCACAGATAGAGTACTTAGTATACTAAGAAGATTGTATGAGAAACACAGTAACTCTTGTATACATTTCAGTAGAAGAAAAATAAATCACTGACTTCTTTAATAAGAAGTCAGCATCTAGCTATTCTATATAGATAATGAGTGAATACTCTTCTCTTATTTTATAAGTGAGAATAGTCAGAGTAATATCTCAGCAGTAGACTGACTATGTAACTGTGTCTGAAACCAGAATCAGATTTTTTGATAGTTCTATTATCAATTTGACTGATCTCATTACACAGTTTTAACATTAGATAGTAGTCTCATACTGTTTCAGTAAGACTTACTGTCTACTCTTATCACATTTTTCAAATGAGATCATGATTTTCACTTCTCAATTTAAATTATTTTTATTGCTTTAAATGACTTTAAATCTTATTTGAGTGTTATCAAAAAGTGTTACTTTTTAAAAAATTAAAAATAGTCTAAAAAAAACCTTAAAATGTCTAAAAATAGTAACTTTATGTCAAGAATGAGACTAAATGAGACTAAATAAGATCACTTTCTCATTTTTTTCAAGTCATGATTTCATTTTAAGATCTGATATATAGTCACTTTACATGTTTTTTTAATAGTCAGTTCTAGCGGGATTCACACCAAGAAATGTATGAGATCAGATCAAATGAGATCAAATGTGAAATTCATAATCTCAGCGGCCAGTCTACTCAGCAGTATCTTACTATTATGAAAGAGTAATCTGCGGATCTTATATAGAAGTAGAGTTCTTATATTTATCAATCAGATCTTTTCATAATATATCTGAATAATATTATAAGATGATTGAAAACTGATTTAAATAGTCTGCAGAATGAATGAAATTATCTGCATGAAAGTAATAAGCTGTGTGAAACTGTAACAGAGTCTTGATATAGCTGAAGATATAATAATACTCTTCTCTTTAAGAGTATAGTTCTGATACTCTTAAGATTACTGAATTAGAAGTTATCTTTATTATATAATAACAGTTACTAACTGATTTAATAGCATATATGCTGTGTGTGATATAAAGAAATAGATGAGTTTTTCTGCTAACTGTATAAATCTTCTCTTTCTTATCTCTATTCAAATTAACTGTGTAATAAGTAAATTTCTTATATATTAATTGAAATGTGAAAAATGTAGTTAATAAGTGACTTACAGATCTCTTAATATATTCTATTCTGTGTATAAAACTCTCTACAAAAGTAGTGTATTTTAGAGATAAAGCTAACAGTAGTGACAGAATTTTTTAAAAAGATTTTCTTTTCTCTGTAATACATTTTTCTTCTCTCTTCTCATCTGTAATAGTGAGTGTATGAGAGTATCATTCTTGAAAGATAATAAAAGATTTATTCTGATATCTTCTAGTGAATAATAAATATGTTTATGATGCAGCTGCAGTCTTTGTAACTATTAAGAAAGTTAGATTAAAGACAGAGACAGCAGTGTCAATGAGCTGCAGAAGTATTACTTTTATTATCATATTTTCTTCTTCTTCTACATCTCTTACAGCTGTGATAATAGTAGCTGCATCTTGCAGTGAGATGTTATTGCTTCTGTCAGTCAGTTTATCTATGTTCAGTTCTTTCTCTGCTCTCTTTACTATTATTATAATACTGTTCTCTCTCTCAATCAACACAGTGATGTATGACTCTGTGTAATTATTTAAAGAGAATCTCAGAGAGAGCTTGATTTCAGAAACAGTGACTCTGAGAAGTTTAATTTGTAGTTCTTCTTCTATAATATACTCAAGCTCTGCTGAAAATACTGCTGAGTTGAGTCTGCAGAGTTCTGTAGTTTCTTTATCTTCTCTCTGTAAGAAGGCTCTGATACAGTCTCTGACTAATACTATCATTTATCTGCACTGTGTTAAGCAGCTGAAGAAAGAGAAAATTTTATATACTTATTTCTTGTCTTACTTCTGTTATTTCTGTTATATCTGTAATAATAACTTCTATCTCTCTGTAAGTATTATCTACTCTATAAGAAGATATTGTATCAGTTCTGACAAGAAGCTCAGATGTTCAAGTAGTACAAAGTAAGAGTTTCAGAGCTTTAAGTATTAATGAATTTCATTAAGCTTAAGAAGATCTCTCTTACTTATCTGTAAAAGAAGATGAAAGTATAAGTCTTTAAAATGAAAAAATATCTCAGAATGACTAATCTTAAAAAGAGATTAGTCAGTATTATTATTGAAAGTGCTGTAAAGACTAATCACTGATTGAAGAGAATCTTACTTCAATTAAAACAGATAACTGAGATACTTTATAAATTGATAAGTTAATACTTTAAGTATCTCTTATACTCTTCTGCAGCATACTTCTCTATAATACTGTAGTACTAACTTCTCAGCAGATAAAGATATCAGTATTGAAGACTGTAACAGTAAAGAATAAGTTTAATGAGAATATAATTATTAATGAGTAAACTCTGAGATTTATTGTTTTTACTTTTTCTGCAGATTACAGCTCTATTAAAATAGCAGCAGTCTGCAGATTAATAATATCAATTTTTATTAATTTTAAATATTTCTTTCTTTTCTTATTAATTGCTTCAGGAATTTTACACTTGTGTAGTCTTATTAAACTTCTAAAAACTCTTTGAGAGAAAATAGAAGAAGAGTGCTACAGAGTTTATAAGACATTAGCTTATTATCATGAAATTATTTCTAAAAAAAATTGTTTGAGAAAAAATGAGAAGTTTTAAGCAGTATTTCTTGCTTAATGTCTCTGACATGTAACAGAGCAGTCTTTACTAGTCATCTCATAGCTTATAATCTCTTTCTCAGCATTTTTCAAATGCTTAAGTAATTTCTATGAATTCTCTGACAATGAATAATCTTCTTATTTAATAAGATATTAAAGCTTACTGTAATGTATTTACTTATTCAATATTTTCTTTATAAGATATTCAGTATCACTCTTGATCTCAATATTATTCAGCTGAAACAGCTTCATCTCAGAGTGTTGCTTATAAAGCTTTAAATAGAAAATGTGAAAAACAGAATGAATTAATTTCAATTCTGAGAGTAATTTTAACTTATATATCTATTTATTCATTACTTTTATTACTGAGAAAGATTCTAGTCATTACTTACTAAGCATCTTATACAGTCTCATTATCATGATATTCTTTGCTAAAAGTAGTACTTAATTCTCTATTAAGAACTTTATTGAAAGATGTTTTTAATTATAGTATTCTATCTGCTATTTCTAAATATGATAAATACTTTTCACTGTCTTCTTATAAATTTTATTCAAAAGTTTCAATCTTGCTTTTACTTCTGATACTAAGAGATACTCTGTTCTCTGTATCTATTTAATATTCTGCCTTTCTATTCTCTTCTTTGAAATATTGTCTGTGATGTTACTAAGTAATAAAGAATTGTATTTATAATAAGTAGAAAAAGAAGATATCTTTAAGATTATATTCTTTATATTATTACATATGAATTTAATGATTAGAAGATGTTTAGATTAATTATTCTAATAATATAAATAGAATACTTAAAGATACTGTTTCAATATCTGATTCTAGTATTTAGTCTGATCATCTGTCTGTAGATAGAATACAGTACTGAAAAGATATTTTATTATAAAATAATAGTAACAAGCTGATTAGTATTTACTAATGAAGAGAAATTCTCAATCTGTTATTAATAATTTCAGAGTACTATGATTATAAATGATAATATTTAAAAATAGATCAGTCAATTCAGAGACTTTAATCTTTTTATAAGTAGAGATATATTTAATTATCTTCATAAAGTAGTTAATAATAATTAAAATTAAGTTATATTCTTTAACTCTTATTAACTTTAGCAGATTAACTATGAAATTCATTGATAGATTTTATTATAAGCTCTTTGAAACAGGCAGTGATACTAACTTACTATATTACTTATACTATGAGATCTTTATTCTTTAATAGATATTATAAGTCTTAATATACTCTTTAACATCTGTTCAGAGCTTGTTTTAAATATATTTATATTTTAGAAGCTTCTTAGTCTTCTCTAATCTGAAGTGTTCTGTATAAGAATTATTATAATGAAATCTTAATAACTTTTAACACACTGCTCTATTATAAGAGATAAAGACTGAATTATTTAATAGTAGAAATTCACAGTCTTCTAGATATTAGTAACTTAATTTCTTAGCAGTACTACTCTGCTTAGAGTCTTCTCTTCTAAGTTTAAACTGAGTTCTTTCTTCTTTAACTTCTGAATTTAAGCTGCTGTAGAGATGTCTCTCTTCTATAACTTATTAATAAATTTTAAAAGTAGTTAGATTAAAAGATTGTAAACTGTTTCATTCTTTATCAATTCAATAATAGTAAGATATAAGATCACATGAACTATGCAGCAAAGAATGATAATGTCATATCACTAGAAGATGATTTTCTTGATCTCTGCAGAGATATACTACTCCGCCTGCCGTTGGATGATAAAAATGCCAGAGATGACACAAAAAATGTCAAAGACACCATCAAGAAGGATAAGAATAATAAGAAGAACAACAAGAAGTGTACTCACTGTAAGCAGGATGGCCATGAAGAGTCTTACTGCTGATTCGCACATTCTGAAAAGTGTCCTGTCAATTGGAAGAATAGAACAAAGAATAATAATGAAAGCTCAGCGCCTACATACACCACTGTTGAGCATGTCTACTAAAATGATAACCATGATACCCGGGCTGTTGAATGCTAATATGATAACCCAGGATAAAGATGATACCTCATGATAACCATGATAACCCACGATAACCAGGCCACCGAGTGCCTATATGATAACCATGATAACTCATGATAACCAGGCCACCGAGTGTGCCTATATGATAATCACGATAACTCATGATAACCAGGCTACTGAGTGTGCCTATATGATAACCATGATAACTCACGATAACCAGGCCACTGAGTGTGTCTATATGATAACCATGATAATAATAACAATAAAATGACAAAAATATGAGAAGTGAGACCTCACAGTGTTCAGATGACTGGAGGGGTAATACAGATACAGAAAGAATAGATTTGAGCATTTTTTCTTATATGTTTTTTATGTTTTTTCATGTATGAAGCTAGTCTTTATGAGAAAACTAGACTCTACATTTTGTAATTAATTTTTATTGCATATTTGAATGATTTGGGCACTTTTGACTGTATGAGTTAACTGGCCTGCGTAGCATGGGAGGGTGTTGAAGCTACTACACAAGCTCTAACCCACATGACCCACACATATATATTTAGCTTTCACTAGCTACTAGTTAAACAATAACAATCAACCATGTTCAACCTCTCTCACAGTAGATGTAGTAATTATCAACACTCTTTCTTACTACATTGTGGTCTATAAGTCATCACCCGGGGCCTCTCTTATTCTCAAATCTTTCAAAAATGCAATAATAATTAATTACATCAATCAGATTCTGATTTCCTCATTAGAAAAGACATTCATACAGCAATAACTGTAAAAATCAAGAAATATATACAAAATTTATTGATTCACTGTATCATCATTATCATTCAATCATTTCTTCTTCTCAATTTTCTGAATGTCAACCCTTTTGACAAAATCTTCAAATGCAGGCTTTACTAGTGACTTGATAAGACTGTCAGCTATATTCACTATAGAATCAACATGTTTTATCATGATTTTTACTTTTTCAATCAAATTATAGAGAATATGATATCTAATCTTAATATAATGCAATCTTCATATTAAGAATTCTTTCTTTGCTAGATTAATTACTCTCTTATTATTAACTTATAGATACAAGCATATTTTCACTTTTTCATCATTCATCAACTCAGTGTTATATAACATATTATTCAATCAGATTATCTCATAAGCTATCTTACTAGCTGTAATATATTCAGCTTCTGTGATTGATTTAGTAATAGATATCTATCTCTGTGACTGTCATGAAATCAGTGACTTATTAATTAATATAACATAGTCAGTAGTCAATTTGTATTGAGAATCTATCTCTGCTCAGTTCAAATTGCAGTATATTACAGAACTCAGACTCATATCACTGATCTTCTTTCTATATAATATGTTATGATTTTTCATCTTCTTAATATAATGTAGAACATGCTTCAATGCTGTCTAACATGTCTTATACAGATATGAGTTAAAATATAAGAGATAGTTAACTGTGAATGCCAGATCTAGCTGGCTGCTTGAGATCAAATATTGCAATGATTTCAATTCTTGATAATATCTCATAGCTGTAAAGTCATCATTCAATTTCTTCTTCTCATTAGGTGAGAATTTCAGTCATATATCAGCTATCATCAGAGTATTAGCCAGATTTATCTTATTCATGTCAAAATCTTCAAGAATCTTCTCAATATAACAGCTCTGTGTAATCACTAGATTATTATTTCTCTGACATTTAATCTTCATTTCAAGATATAACTTGATCTCTTTGACATTCTTTATCTCAAATCTCTTTGCAATCTCTCTTAATACTCAGTCTAATTACTGTTCTTAGAGTTCTGTTATCTGACAATCATTAACATGTAATATCAGCTAGATCTTGTAAACAGAGTGATATAGAAATTCACTGTTATAAGATAATATCTTAAATCTCAATGTAGTTAGATACTTTATTATGAGGAAATATCATACTCTTACAGCTTACTTCATTTTATATAGACTCTGACAGAGTAATCTTATCAAGCTCTCTCTATCATACTTAACATCTGTGAATAGTTATATATAGATCATCTCATTCTGTGATAGTATATCATTCAAAAACACAGATACATAGTTAATCAATTTGATCTTTCATTCTTTAGCAGTTGATATAGTGAATAGACAGTGTGATATAGACTCTGATATCACAGCAGTATATAATCTTGTATAATAAATACCCTGCTGTTATAAGAACTCTCTAATCACTTAGTAAGCTCTAAAATAAATGATTTCTCTCTTATTATTAAATTTCTGATTATATACTCATTTATCTGTAAGAATATTCATTTTCAGAGTCTTCTCAATGATAATATATATCTTCTTCTATTCAAATATCTTAATCTTCTTTTTCATTGTCTCATATTAATAGTCTCAGTCTGAGCTTCTCTTGACTTTCATCAGTATAGTTGATCAGTCTGTCAGAATACTTAGAACAGAATCATTCTCATTAACAGAGTCTTCAGACTCTTCATTTATAATAAGCTGTGTCTTATTATCTAGAAGATAGATTGAATCAATTGCATTCTCTAAGTCTTTATTAACAATCATCTTCAAAATATCTGACTTTTTCTTTACTAGATATTATAGTAAGCAGTGCTGTCATCTCTCTCTGACATTCAGAATGTTCAATTCATTAGACAATTCATTGAATTTTCTCACTGTATTTACAGATGTATTTGCACCCATGTCAAGAGCTTCATTAAATATGATATCTTGTGCAATCTCAAGACAATGTGCAACAGAATCTCACACACAATATTGATATAATTCTTGATATTCAATCATTTATCATTTCTTACTGTCTGTTCTATCTGTGAGCTTATTCAACACTTTTAAATTCTTCTTATAGATCTTGCACTCTCATCTCTGTATTCAATGAATAGAAGATTGCATCTCAGTTCAAGCTTTAAAAGATGTAAGTGATGTTTCATTCTTGTATTCAAATATCTTTATTAATATTGAAGATGTGTTGATCATTATGATCACAGCTTGCATTGTCTTATCTCAGAGCTCTTTCATTAGTTCACTATTAAATAGCAAGCTTCTTGTCTTCTCTGCAACTATTCAATTCACATGTTTCACTGAGTTATTTGATTATAATGTATCAGATGTAGTTATTTCATACACTATTTCTTTACTCTGATAGTAGGTCTTCAGTTCTTGACTTTTGAACTCTTCTTTATCATCTCAGTGTAGAGTTCCAATTCAATATTGAGTAGTGACCTCAATTTTATTAATAAAGGTTATCAAATGTGCAGTGATCTCATTCTTTGATATTATAAGAATAATTCACCTGTAGCATGTAGCATCATCTGTAATGCTTATTCAATAATTAACTTCTCTCTGAGTAGAGAGATTGACTTCATTATATAATGTGTGATCATCATCTGTAAGATTCACAAAGAATCTCATCACAGGTTTGATAGTTCTCAACATTAGTACAAATATTGAATATGTCATTTTTATCTGTACACAGATCTTGCAGAATGATAAAACTCTGTCATTCTTTATTTTTATTTCTAGTCATGAATCTGCTGTCATTTTTGTAATATCTGCAGAATTCAGATGTTCTAGCTTTTAATATCATTGCATCATTGTAAGTTCTATAACCTTTGTATTATTTCTTTCAGATAGTGTCAATATTATATCATCTTTCATCTGTAATATGTTTGCAGATTCAAAATCATCATTAAGTATAGCAAACTGAATCAAGTCTCCGTATATAATCAGCCTTTTCATCTCATAGATATCATTCTTATTTAATCTTGCTATAAATGAGAACATGCAGTCAGAAGACATAATCAACATAGCATGATTATTTTCATATATCAACTACTTATAGATATAACTCTGATGTACAAGCTTATTCATACTCATGAGGTTCACTTCTAACTTCAGAACATAGTGAACATTATTTAACAGCATATTCATCTCTTTCACTGAAATCTTCATATCTTCTATAGCTGCAGCAGAGATCATTATTTCATCTGTTATTTTTAACATTACTTTCACCTTCTGAGGTTTTGTCATGACAAGATCTCTGTGAGGTGTGGCATGAGCGCCTGATTCAGAGTCTAGAATCCAGATATCTTTTCCTGTCTAATCACTCACATAGGCCTTTTCTTTGATGCAAAATACTTGTTTCATAACATTGTGAACAGAAGCAGCATCTGTATTCTTCACATTCTTGTCTTTATTCTTGTTTCTATTTGTATTGAAGTTTGAAGAATGTTTCTCAGAGTATTTCTTTCAACAGTCAGTCTGAATATGACCAACCTTTTGACAATGATAGCAGGTTCTCACATCATTACCTCTATGTTCAGGTTTGAATTCAGTGTTCTTGTCCTTGTCATTATCTTTGGCATTATTCGCGGGATTTTTCATGGATTCAGTACTACTATTTTTCGCAGTAGAAAGGTGTAGAAGTATGTTACAGTATAATCTCATGAAGTCTTCTTCTAAAGGTCTTGAATTGTTCTTATCAATCTGGTTCATTCTATTCTTTATGAAGAATGTTCAACCTCTATTGACTTCTGTCAGTAATCTATTGAAAAACACAATATCTTCAATCTTATATCTCAGATGAATATAATCAGTTCTGATGACAATTAATCATTCAATGAAAGCTCTATCAGATTCTTTGCTTTTGAAGATTATTTTAATAAACTCTTTAAACAAATGAGTTCTATGTACAGCAGGCCTCTTGAAAAAGTTATTCTCTATGATAGTTCATAGAGTATAAGCTGATAATTTGAACTTCTTAAGTATAGTGAAATGAGCCTTGATCTGCAGAGTAATTGCAGATAATATATAATTATATAATCAAAGATTGCATTCTTTTCAGAAATGTTGTATATTCATAGTGA